CACCCCAAACCACAGCAGCACGGGGCCCAACCCAGTCACTGAGGCATCAGCGAGGTCCCTCCTGGCACCGAACCAACATCCAGCCCATGGCAGAGCCCTGCCACCCGCTCCTCCCCGCTCCAGGCAGCACAGACCCCAGACCCCTCTCCAGCCTCCCTCATGCAGCACCGAAGACCAGGGGTCTTTTACCTTCTTCTTCCTCCCCCCTGCCGGCATCCTCCGTGGAGCCCTGGCCACTGGCTTCTTTTCGGGAGTGAAGTCCTGGAGGAAAACACAGGACTGAAGAAATGGGGAGCAGTCTCACGACAGTTTCAGAAGCCAGTCAGGTTCCCTCAAGCCACTGCCCCACAGATAGTGACACTCTTCCTCCAGCCCTTTCCCCACCGCCCTGCCAGCCTCCATGCATGCGAATCCCCAAACCCTCTCACCTGGTCACTGTTTTTTTCTGACTCAGAAGATGTTTCGGAGTTCTCCTCTTCTGTCAGGGAAGGGCTGCCCTGATCCAGGTCACTGGAGGATTTCCGAGGCCGTTTTGCCACCGGCATCTGATACGAGAGAAGCGACAACATGAGAGAAGCCCACTCCTCCTCCACCCACAACAGAAAGCCAATGCTTGCTGGGAAGGGGCTTTGCCCGGCTCTCCCCGACTGGCCCCACAAGAGCAGCCATGGGCGCTCAGAAGAGATCTGCAGCTCTGGCTTCTCCTCCGGGCTACGAACTGCACCAGGACTCGGCCATCCCACCATCTCAGAGACAACATGAGACAGCAGTGAGACCCCGAAACACGTGCTGAACCCCATCTCCCACTGGAGAATCCAGAGGAAGTTGGGTTTCTTCATCACCTCCTGCCACGGTGGGTTTGACATGCTGCATGGTGGAGGAAAGCTCAGCGGTGGATTCAACGACTGCGCCCTCCTGACCAGGACACCCTCCCGTCCCCGCTGCGTGGAATCGCCTCAGCCCACACTCACTTTCATAGCCAGCGATTTTCGTTTGAGCCCACTGTGGTCGCTGCCTCGATCCGAGTCCTCATCACTTTCCATTTTCTCTATGGCAGCGTCTTCCTCATCATCACCTGCATCGCTTCCCCCCATGGGGTCGTTCTCGGGAACGTCGCTGTCAGAGGAGCTCGCAGGCTAAAGACAGTGGGGACGAGAGTTGTGTTATCACCCTGAGGGGCCTGTGGGGCATTGGCGGGGGGGAGAGGAGAAGGGGCACAAAAGGGTGAGGAGCGACGGACGGCAGCGCCGAGCAGAGAGCTGCATGTGCAGAGGAGCGTGGGGCAGCCTCCCCTCCCGGCACAGAACCCTTTGGCATGGCTCCAGACAACGTGACCAGCCCTTCAACGAGAACGCTTAGTCGACCCCCTTCTAATTCCCCTCTGTCCCCTTCCCAAGGCCCCTCACGCACCACCCCGAGACCACCAGCAACACCTTCCCTCTGGATCCCCCCAGCTCAGCTTCCACCCACTGCTGCTGCCTCGCTCCCCTTTTTCCCCCATCCTCGTGGTCTGCCAAAGACCCCATGAGAAACCCAGATCTGACAGCCCCTCTCGGGGGAGCAGACCCCAGCCCTCCTCTGCCCTAACGGCGCCAGACAAGAGGGGCTGGGTGGCTCGGTTCAGCCTCTCCTCCGGCGTCAGGGAGCGGCCGCTCCCCTCCAGCAGGCTGGCCACCAGCCCTTGACTTGGGTCAGGCCTCTTCCTTCTCAGGTGGCTTCACCCCCACAGCACTTCACACACCTTCCCACAGGGAAAGGTCCACACGAGGAGTCCAGCATGGCAGCCACCACTCTTCCCAGGTGGGATCTCCTGTTCCCTCACTCCCACGTAGGGAAGGTCTCCTGGCTTCTCACCAGCCCACCCGGAGGTTCCTCATGCAAGGACATCGCACCCAAGGGGAGGGCAAATGAGCTCCCATCTTCTGGGTTGTTTCACTCTGTGGGCAGCAGGGTCCACGTTCCCTAGAGCCAGGATTCTTCCAGTGCTGGAACCTTCCTGCTGGAAAGCCCCTTCTCATCCTTGACTGTTCCTGGCACCTCACTTCGTTTAGGTCTCAAAACCAAAACTCTACTTCAGTCTCTTCTTCTGCTCCTCCAGGTTTTTTGGTCACTAGACGAGGTTGGCATTGGTCAACCCTCAGCCTTGCTGGGGCTGTTGGCGTCGCCTCGGTCCCTCGATGACAGCAGGTCCCTCACCAACAGATTTCTTAACCCCGCTGGGAGGTCACAGTGGAGTCCCTGGACAAATCGAGTGCTGCCTCCCTCACCATCGCCAACCTCCCGCCCAACAAGCTGAAGTTGTTCTCCAGGTTTTCAAGCATCTCCACGGTCTCACCTCACCCTACATCTGCAATCTTGGGTTCAACCATCTCCCGCAGCTACTCAAACCACATCCTCTCTCCTGCACTGGCAGCAGCACAACCGAGGGGGCTCATTCCCTGAGCCTGCCTACCTCTAGACCACCTTGTCCTCGTAGCTCACCTTAAAAACCTTCCTCTGCTTCTTCAGACCAACTGCCTATGAAGCTGCTTTGGACGCCTTCTTTGAAGATCGCTATACAATAAATTGTATCACACAATTATGGTTACGAAATGCCCATGCAAGCAACTGATGGCGAAGAGCCAGCTCCCGACCTGCTCTGTAGCCCGCTGAAGGAGCAGCCCAGCGGCTTTTGGCTCAGGACCTCAGAAATGGATGAAGAGGGGGACTGCTCAACAGTCTCCATGCGCAGGTCCAGGAGCCGGGGACGAGCAAGCCTCAAGTTCTCGCTCTGACAACGAAATCCTCCATGGTTTTGGGCAAGCGGCACAAAGCACATCCCCAGTTCTACCTCGAAGATGGGGCAAAGGCATCTCCCTCCAGAGGAGGAGGAGGAGAGCTGACTCCTTCAGGAAGGGAGAGGGCAGGGAAGGGAAGCTACTTCAACCCCAAGAAAGCCGATCTGCGAGCTGAAAGCGTGTAGGCACCGTAGCAATGGGAAGCAGAAAAAGGACAGCGACTCGGAGGAAAGGAGAGATGGAGGTGCCGGCAGCCCACGTCCCCGCCACGCGAGGCCCGCACTCACCGGAGGGGCACTGTAACTGGCGTGAGGGTTGTTCTGGATTTCCCACAATCCCTCGTTGAAGCCTTTTCTCTTGTTTGGTTTCCCATATTTGTCTTTATATTTTTCATAAAGGAAGAGATCTTTAGGGCCCAAGAAGGCGCTGGAGAGAAATAAAGCAGAAGTGAGCCCGGAGCAGAGGCAGCGGGGCAAAGCCCAGAGAGGGGAGCGAGGCAGCGCTTACGTCTCGTGGGTGCCGAAGAAGAAGATGGGGTACTTGTTCGGTGGGGGTTTCACAGCGCCGTCCACGATGTCATCGATCTGAAAGGAAACCCAAAGCAGGAGGTGGTCAGAGAGAGCGGCTTGAGCACGTCCTCTGCGAGGCAC